ACCAGCTAACAACGTAACGTAACAACAAGTTAAAGCTGGATTACAACAGTTTAGACAGACAGTTTTATCAAACGTTGCTTCGTTATTTAGTTAATAAGACAACGTTCTAACTTATAAAAGCAACCAGCTACCTAAAAACACTCAATCCCTGCGTGCATCACTCGAGTTGCTGCAGTAAGACAAAGAAACCTTGCAGACAGCACCAAGCATGAGTTTACCGTCAGCTACAGCTAAAGCTTAAAGCTTAAAAGTGTCTTGTTGGACTGTAGCCATCGCAGATTCTGAGTCTACATGATTAGACGGCGCTGCTGTGCACAGCACCGACAAGTAGAGACAACATATAATAATACTGACTTTAACTAATTAAAGTTGGTGTCATAAGCTATGATCAGTATTCACTGAGGCCAAATTGAAAAACATTTTTATTTAAAAACATTTTTTATGCACACTTTTTATAAACCAAATTTACACAACCATACAAATAAAAGCAGTGAAAATGAATTTCTGATATTATCTTTAATGTATGTTGCATGAGTTTACATAGAAAAGTCTAACACCTGTCAGGACCAGCTGATTTATTTTTATTTATTTATTTTTTGGTAACTTGTTCAGATTTTGTTTTTTTTAATTCTGTCTCCTTTAAACTCATCCTTCCGAATAAAGAAGATGACATAACCCGCCTGTGGACGCTGCAGCATTACGTATGAGTTCAAGCCAGTTGGTGAAAAACAAACGCACTGAATATATCCTGTGAAATGTTTTAAATGTTATCTCGGCAGATCAGTGTAGAGCATGCATGTGATACCATGCATGCTCATTTTTCATTAAATGCACGTCGACCTGTCCCTATAACTGCTACAACACAAACACAGTTTATGGTTTTAAAGAACAACATGGAGGGTCTCCCAACAATTAAAAAAATGGGGAATAAGAAACGGAAAGAAGGAGTTTGATTATGTGAGAAGGACGTCTGTGTTCAGTTCTTTTATTCTCAACATGTTTGAGTGGTTTGCATTTTGTTATTTCCCAATTGATTCAAGTTTCTCTACTCTGCGTTTGTCTGCCTTTGACCTTGTGTGTCTGTTTCAAAGCTGCTCTCCAGAGGAAAGGGCAAAACATCAATGTGAATTGGAAAAAAAAAAAGAATATGGCTACATTAGGTATCCACACGCTGCTAATTCTGATTTTGAAGAAATTAGGGATGCACAATATTGGATTTTTGGCCGATATGTTGATATGCTAAAACATATTTGGCCAATAACCAATACCAATATTTTTTTTTCCTAGACTTACTCACAGAGACTACATAACTTTCTCTGCTGTGGAATTAAAATACTACATTATTCTGCATGGTCTTTGTCAGTTTGGCCTGCTACCAAAAGCAGATGCCAAAAAGGGCTAAAAATGATGTAATGCTGTATAAGTTTATAATACCCGGTCTCAATATTCAGGTCTCTCTTGTAAATGAGTCAACTTGGCTCAATGGGACTAACCTGTTTAAATAAAGTTGAATTAATGAAAAATATATAATATATATTTAAAAAAACAGTGCATTTTATATCGGTGAGTTTTTTTTTTTTGATGGAATGGCCGATGTTCGATATTTAACTTTATTGATATCGGACGATACCGATATCATGCCGATAATATCATGCATCCCTAGGAAAGCAAATAAATTATATATATATATATATATATATATATATATATATATATATATATATATATATAGGTAATAAACTACTTTCGTTCAAAGGCTAAGAGAAATAATTCTTTGTTTCTATTCATAATCCAGTAGGATGAGTTTCGATTATCTTTCACAAACTTGCAGAATGAAAAATCACATTTATTTATTTCTGTTGCTTAGAAAAACTGATTAATAGTATTTTATTTCTGGTTTCATGCAAAGTTGCCAAACATCTTCGTTTTTTTTATTTTATTTATGTATCTATTTCATTTAACCAAGTTGCATTTATTCAGCCATCTTCCAAACCAAGTCTTGCAGCCTTGCATATGACAACAGTTTCGTGTGAACAGGCTCATCCTCCTTTAAGCGGATTTGGCAGATTTTGGTAACGACTCTCCCCAAGATCAGCTGCACTTTAGAGTATTGATGGAGAAATGCTCTTTTCTCAAAATCCTCTGCCAAACAGTGTGAACGATGAGAAAAATCTCATTACATCCTCGCCAGACATCAAAGTATACTCTTTACAAGATCTAACAGAAACATTTTTAACCAGGGAAATGTGGGCTGGAGAGCGATACAAAGTATGGAGGACACAATGGAGGTTTAGAAAAACTGTCGTGTGGTCCCGTAAGACTCGGATCGAACAGTTTCTCAGCAGAAGTGGAATAAAGATCATTCACTTCTCTTCAACTCCACATGAAGCGTCCAAACTTTAAATGAGCGTGTTTACTTCTACATATATATTACAAAATGTTCTTAATTTGCATTAGAGGAAAACTTTTGTAAAAAATGTTTTTTTCAAAGCTTATATGTTTATTTTACATGTTTTTAAAGCATTTTATAAAGAATATTGCTTCAAAACGTTAAAGCAGGGATAATCAACTGGCGGCCCGCGGACTGGATGAGGCCTGCGGGCGACTTCAGTCGGGTCCACCAATGAGTTCATTAAAAAAAAAAAATAATAATAATAATAATATAATGATAATAAATATATCTTTGAGTTTTGGGTTCTGTTTACTGTGTGAATGTTTATGAAGCATTCACTCCATTGAGATCCATTTTTCTTCTGTATATTTTTCAGCATCGTTCTTGTCCCACAGTTTTAATCTATTTCAACAAATCTTAAATCAAAATGTTCAGCTCTTTCAGGACAATCCTGCTGCGACGTTTGGTATTGGTGCAACTTTAGCTTTTAGGCTTTTCTGCCACTCAGAATATAAATTGAACTCATTTTACATCCTTCAGATCTTTAAATCTGTTTACAACCTTTTTTCTGCCACTTTCACATTTTGTTCTGCTTCAGCTTCTTTCAGCTTCTGGCTGCAAATTAAACTTTTTCCAGCTTCTTTCAGCTAATTTTAGCTGTTTTTCCAGCTGTTTTGGGATCTTTAGATTTTTTTTTCTGCTAACTACAATGTTTGTGTGCTTCTTCTAACTTCTTTCTGCAAATATTAGCTTATTTATGCACATTTCAGCCTTTTCTGCTATTTCAGCTATTATGTAGCCGTTTTATGCTAATTTTAGCTTTTTCAGCTAATGCAACATATTTTGCACTCATTTCAACTTTTTCAGCCTAATTCAGCAAAAATGTGCTCTCTCCACTTCCTTCTGGAAATTTAGGCTTTTTTCTGATATTTAAGATACTTTTCAGCTGTTTTTCTTTTGCAAATTTTAGCTTTTTTAAGATAATTTTCACTTTCTGTGCTTATTTCTGCTCATTTCAGCCTAATTGGGGAAATGTGCTATTTCTCCTTTCTTCTGGTTGTTCTAGCTTCTTCTAAAGATAGCTGAAAACGGCTATCTTTTTAGCATTTTTTAACTAATTTCAGCTGTTTTCAGATTTTTTTGTGTGTGTGGTCATTTCTGCTTCTTTTCAGCCTAATTAACTTTTCTTTTCAAGTTATTTCTGCTACTTTTAGCTTTTCTGCTATTTCAACTTCTATTTAGCCTTTTTATGCTAATTTGCTCTTTTTCAACTAATTCCACATTTGCGGGGTCTCATTCCAACTCTATTTGCTTTTTTCTGGTAGTTTAAATGCATTTATGCCTTTTCAACTACTTTTCAGCTACTTTTAGCAAAAGTCCTAATTTTTTGCTAATTTCTGTATATTTAAACTGAATTCAGCAAATATGGGTTCTTTCTGCGTTCTTCTACTAACTTAGGCTTGTTCTTCCATTTCAGCTACATTTCAGCATGATTGTAGCTGATGCCAGCTGTTTTTCAGCAAGTTCTTCAGCAATACGCATTCACACTGCGCTTTCGCAGGAAATGCAATTTCTCCAGTTGCACTTATGATTCAATGCAACAAAATAAACAAATTTTAATGGTAACGGATCATACTTGGATTATTTACATAATGACTTTAGTTGTCCGGCCCCTGAGCTGCTGGCTCTCAGCACCTGTGGCCCCCGGAGCAGTTTAGTTGGTTAAAGTATTCACCCATTGTGTCCGTTTAACATATTTTCACCCTTCCAGCTTCCATCTTTTGTCTGTGATACAGTCTAATGTCATTTCCACCATCTGTTCTCGCTTGTGCCTTTTCCCCGGCGCACCCCGTCTACCCTCTGGAATCACCGTCTTTTCCTTTCAGTTTGAGCAGATTTGCCTCCTTGCCTGCCACGACCTCTCAAAATATGTTAAAAGCAATATTTAGTCTGGAGGTGTCAGGCTGGCTTAAAAGCAGAAGCAAACAACAAACCCTGTTTTATCTTTAGTCAGAGCCGACTCTTCTCGTGGAAGAAGTGCTCACTACTGAGCAGAGTGTAAAAAAGGACTGAATCCAACTATTGAATTATGATAAAACAGTCTGCTTTAACCTTAAACAACCTTTTGCCTTCTTCATGTGGTCCAAACCAACCCATGTAGTCCGATATGACACATAACCAAATAAAATACTTAAACATCACATGCAAACAGTTTGAAGCATTAAAAATAAATTCTTGTTCTCTGAAAGCAGCAGGTGAAATTAATAAAAGCAGCATGTTTTGCCTGTGGGAGCTGCACTCTATCATTTGGTCAATAAGAATTCAATTACATCTTTCACTTAAAACACTCAGTTGAAATGTCATGAAAACATCTTTTCTTTGCTCAGACATGCTTCACATCAATCTGATTTCTTTGGAAATAATGCCTCCTGGCGCAATGGGAGGGATAATGATTTGTCTTTTATATGTTCCAGTAGGCAAAAAGGAAAAACAAAGACCAGAGTCATGCGAGGCATCAAAATAAATCTTATTGCAATTGCCTTCAGACTTGGCAAAAACAAAGTCTTCTTGTTGCAGACAGCAAATTAAAAATGAGGGCAATCAATACCTTGTGTCGGAACTTCATGACTGGTCGATAGGGGGGTGACCCATAGCCCTCCTTGTTTGGTCTCCCATTGTTGCCAAGCACGGCGAGCCCCAACAGTAGGAAGGCAACCGACCAGCATCGAGCTGTCTTCATTGGTCCTTCCTGTCAAAAACCAAACGAGAGCGGTGAGTTCTCTCCTCCAGTGCTCTGAAGGTTCATCACCGGCCGGCCAGGCCGATTCATCAAGCGTGCTGTAATTAGTGTAGACAATGAGAACTGCGAAGCTGTCGCAGTTTAAACTTAAGCTATCAATACGTGCCCCACACTCTGCAAGGAGATTAGATCTCTTTTTGAATCAATTATGGGGAAATAGACGTCAAGAGAAAATCTAGATAAGAAAGACAAAGAGCCAATATATGAAGGCAATTAAAGTGAGGGCCGTGGATTAATTAGGCTGAGTGTCTAAATCAAGTAACGGATGTGTTGGAGAATAAGATCTGCAGCAGCTCCGGTGCAGGCCTGCAACGACGCAGTTCAAAACATATATATATATATACAGAAGAGTGAAAACATTTACAGCTCTACTATTAATGCACTTTCAATTATTCATTATGCTGCGAGGGAACAAGTGTGACCTTTGCATGTCACGAATTAAATAAAACAAGACTTGGTAAAAAAAGAAAATAAAATAAAACGTGCCTGGTGAAATATCTGTCACAAAAACAGCATCGATGAAGACAGTGAACATGTAGTATCCTCTTTCAACACAATGTGCACGTTGTGTAGCAATGAATGCACAATAAAACAAAGGACAAGGGTTATCCTGGGCTGTATCAGAAGGTTTGAAAGAGTTCACTCCAGCAGTGTTCCAGATATTCTGAATGCAGTGTGGAAATGCAGGTCCTCACCCAGTATAAACAAACGGTGCACCCATGTCTCCTGTTGCAACATGATTTGCATATTTAGTGTTTGTAGTTTTCAAGAAAAGTTTTTGTGGATTGAAATTAAACAGAGAATGAAAATAAACCTTAGGGTTGTTGTTGCAGGATAATCAAGTGGGTAAGAATTGAACTGTGTCAAATAAAAGAGGTATTTTGTTGTTGTTGTTTTCTTGCTTGTCCCGGGCAGTGGCATATACTGGTTAGTGGAGGGAACCATTTTATCCACCACCAGGAGCAATGGCAGAGCAAGTAAATGGTAAATGGACAGTACTTAGATAGCACCTTTATATCTAATAAAGATACTCAAAGCTCTTTACAACAATGTGTCCTCATTTACCTCCAACACACACATTCATAGAGCACTCTACTATATCTATACAAAGACTAATCAGAGATTTATCACATCCATACACTGACGGGACGCACATCGAAGACAATGAAGGGTTCAGTGTCTTGCCCAGGGACACTTCGGCATGCGACTGCTGGTGGTAAGAGAAATGCGTGTTTGTTTGTCCTGCGCTGTACTCCACTTCCTGCTTGTGGAGCGGGGCCCGGTCTGATTACATTCACACTGTACTCGAACCGCGCTGGAGTTTTCTTCTACCGAGACCTGGGTTTTAGCCCGGGCCAGAGTTCACCTTTTTGTTCCGTGACAGAGTTCGATGGCGCGTTCACACACACCCAAATGAATTGGACTTTCTAGGAAAACGAGCTAGAGTTCGATTAAAGTGGACCAAACAGGGCTGGTGTGAATGCATCCTTAAGGAGTTTACTGCTTGGTGGGGAAACAGTTTACTGGAACTCCTCTGACTGATGAAGCCCTCTGGATAGAGGGCGAAACGTCTCTATAAAAAACAAACTGTCTAGATGACCTGACTGAGAATTACTGGATTTGATACCTGGATGATTGAGCATGAACTTTGTTGTAGTGAAAAAATAATCTTTCTTACGCCTACATGAAGTCGCACACTAAAACAGGAAGTTGGTACGTCCCTTATTTTTGAAGTTATAATTCTCACACCACACCATGCAGGGACAGAGGGACAGATGGACAGAGGGACAGGGGTATTTCCAAGTGCCCCACTTCAATCTACAACAAGGGACAACAAAGCATTCTGCTGAATCCACCAAAACACCAGAGAGCATTAATCACATAACTGACCTACATCGTCTGCGTGTGCAGGTAATCAAATATGGAAGGTACGTTCCATTTTGGACCCATTTTCAGTCACTTCCACTGTTCCTGTAGATAAACATATTTTTGCTTATAAGTGTTTACTTTAAGGCCATTAACCATCAATTTAAAGAAAAAAATGTGCAGATTGTTTCTTGCTTTATGAATTTCATCATTTGTATCCTCAGTGTTTCCTTAAAACTCTGTCAGCTGCTGTTTACACGTCTAATTTACTGTTTTGTAGCCGTTTGCAGACAAACACTGAGCTGTACGGTCTGAACCACCTCAAAGCTCCAGTGCCTGCTCGTCCTTCAGTGGACGGAGATGACTGACAGCAGCTTGGTGACCCCGCTTCCTTGTCCTAGCGGAGTGACAGAGTCTGACAACAATGGAACCGTCGAGGCAGACATCTGAGCACACAAGAAACTCACAGGAGGTTCCACCAGAACACAAGCATGTCACTGTGATGTTCTGGACCAACAGCAAACACTGAAGTTTGATCTTTGTGACTTTTTGAGACTTCTGTTGTCTTCCTGAGATCCCTGATGGCTTCAGGTTTTCTGCACTGATACAGCTTTGAAGCCATTTATTTTATTTCAAACATTTCCCTTAAGGCAAAATGAAATAAAATCTACACATTTTGATAGATACTGAAAAAAAAAAAAAAAAAAACACTTAAAACATAAAGATCACATCTACAAATTGGTTGAACAGACAACTGTTAGACAGTACACATTTCAGAACTTTTTGTCCAACAGTTTAACGATAACTTTAATAATAATTAATTTCCTCAGCGTCGGATGTTATCAGCTCATTAAATGGATGTTATTGTCCCTCCTACCTCCTAGCAGTTTTAAAGTGATCTTTATATCGCTGATGATATGCAGCGTCGCACACGGGTACATGAAGTGTTGTTGATTTTGTCAGCTTTGTCAATAACGCTTTTCCTAACCCTGACCCTAAACTTAACCCCCAGACCCTTTACTCTGAACCTAACCACGTAAGCCTATTATCAGCGCTAACAACGTACCTTTAAACCCTCTAGAAGGTTGAGGAGGGACAGTCTGAACGCTACATAATGGGGAATATAACTGATAATAGGCCATTTAAAGGCTGATCATATTTGAAGTGAATGACTTCCTTCATGTTTAAATCATTATCAGCCTACCTACTAACCCATTAAACTCCCCTCATTTAATTTACTGAAACATTGTTATGCCTAATAAGACAAACCAGATAACACAGTTTTCTTAAAACCAAACTTTCAGCCATGACAATTGTTCTTTGATCAGTTCATTATTTATTAATTTTAGTTAGATAACAAGTCTAAAGGCAAAGTTTCTAGAAAGATCCTAAATCAATTTTAAAATACTGTAATTGACTGAATTTATAATCTCCTGTAAAGACATTTTGAACCAAAGGCATCAATACTGTATCACTTAACATCAACTGTTCACTTATTGTTATGATCTAAATCAACAAACTTCTGTGAGGCGTCTCGTTGTTAAATGGGTTTCTGATGGGCCAACATCTGCAGGATGCTGGTCACTAACGTGGTTTAATCAAAAGAACCAGACTCAGCGGTAGATGAAGATTTTAACTGGCATTTTACTTGCAAGAGCTGATTTCATGACGGGTTACATTGTCACAGAATCAGCTTCCGACTTTTCTACAGCAGTGGAGTTCAGTGGGCATTTCCTCGTCCTGTACCAGTTAGTGTCAGCGGCACAGATCCATGGCCGTTGACGAGTCGGCCTCATTCATTCATTAACCTTTAATTCTACATGTTAGTCTCATTGCGTCACAAGGACATTTACAAGAGAGACCTGTTTTAAACAGACAACATACTAACTACGAACAATAAACAATTGTATCATCAGCATAGAGATGCAAGGATGTGACATGTATGTTTTGACCTACATTATTTATATAAATTGTAAAAGGATCCTAAAACTGAGCCTTGTGGCACACCATTAGTGACCGTTAGGTAGCTAGATGAAGTACCGTCATGTCGAACATATTGCCTCCGACGTGAGAGATAGTTTGAAAACCAGCCAACAGTGTGATCTGAGAAGCCAATACCTGAGAGCATGTGGCAGAAGATGTCATGATCCAGAGTATCAAAGGTTTTGGACAGGTCTAAGTAAAGTGCAGCACAATAATCCTTAACATCCAAAGCTTCAACATCATCATTTTCATGCAAACCTTTAGCCAAGCAGTTATTGAGATAAAATGGTGGGTCAAAATACTTCTGGATTTGAGTATTTACCAGTTTTTCTAAGACCTTAGCTCAAATACAGAGTTTGGAAATTGGTCGGTAGTTGTTCAGTGTAGTGAGGTCTCCTCCCTTCAGTAATGGTAGAACACTGTTTTCCAAGCATCTGGGACAGTATCATGTTGTATGGACAGATTAAAAATGTATGACACCGGCTCTGCTATGATTTGTGCAGCTAGACTTAAGAAATAAGGAGGGAGGTCATCAGGGCCTGCAGGTTTTCTAGTATCCAGACCTTTCAACAGTTTAGTAACCTCAGTGACAGAATGGTGAAAAAGAGAAGGTATGATTTACTGAGGTTTGACTTGTAGGAGTCAAGGTCTCCACGTCAAGAAAAGAGATTGTTTTAGAAGCCAGCAGGTTCTCAAGGCAGGAGGGAATATGTTCTCAGAGATCTCCGCCTCAATATAAAAACACAATGTATACATTCATAACTCTCAACCAAATATGCTTCAACAGTTTTATCCATCCATCCATCCATTTTCTTTACCCGCTTATTCCATTTTGGGTCACGGGGGTCGCTGGTGCCCATGTCCAGCAATCACTGTGCGAGGGGCGGGGTACACCCTGGACGGGTCTCCAGTCCATCACAGGGCCACATAGAGACAAACGAGACAAACAACCATTCACTCTCTCACTCACACCTAGGGACAATTTAGAGTTACCAATCAGCCTAACATGCATGTTTTTGGTCTGTGGGAGGAAACCGGAGTACCCGGAGAAAACCCACGCATGCACGGAGAGAACATGCAAACTCCACCCAGAAAGGCCC